ATCACAGCGCACAGCTCACAGGATCGCGCTGTCTCCTGTCACGGCCGCTCCAGACCCGTCGCCATCTTAGTATTCCCACTTATTTTCTTTCTAATGCTCTTCCTTTCTTTATGTAGATCTGAGTTTCTGATCTGTATAATTTTTTCTCTGAAGAACTTTTTAAAAATTTTCTTGCAAGGCAGGCCCAATGGTAACAAATTCTCTCAATTTTTGTTTGTCTGAGAAAGTCTTTATTTTTCCTTCACTTTTGGAGGATAATTTAGCAGGATACAGAATTTTAGGTTGGTGTGTTTTTTCTCTCAGCACTTTAAATATTTCATTGCCATCTCTTCTCCCTTGCATGGTTCCCGAAGGGAATTCAGATGTAATTTTTATTTTTTGCTCCTCTATGGGTAAGATTTTTTTTCCTCTGACTTCATTCAATATTTTTTTCTTTATTTTCTGAAATTCGAATATGACATGCCTAGGTGTAGTCTGTTCCCGAAGGGAATTCAGATGTAATTTTTATTTTTTGCTCCTCTATGGGTAAGATTTTTTTCCTCTGACTTCATTCAATATTTTTTTCTTTATTTTCTGAAATTCGAATATGACATGCCTAGGTGTAGTCTTTTTTTTTTTTTTCTTTCTCATATTTATCCTGCTCGTTGTTCTCTAAGCTTTCTAGATCTTTTGTTTGACAATAATTTGGGGGAAATTCTCAGTCATTATTGCTTCAAATATTTCTTCAGTGCCTTTCTTTTTTTCTTCTCTTTCTGGTATTCCCAACTCTTGTAGTTGTCCCATACTTCTTGGATATTTTGTTCTTTTCTTTCTGTCTTTTTTTAAAATTAAAAAAAAATTTTTTTTGACTCTTTGCTTTCTAGTTTTGGAAATTTTCTATTGATGCATCCACAAGCTTGGAGATTCTTTCCTCAGACCTTTCCAGTCTACTAAATGAGCCCATCATAGGCATTCTTCATTTCTATTATAGTGTTTTTGATCTCTAGTATTTCTTTTTTATTCTTTTGTAGAATTCCATCTACCTGTTTATACTGCATATCTGTTCTTGTATGTTGTCTACTGTTTCCACTAGAGACCTTAGCATATTACTTTTAGTAATTTTGAATTCTTGGTCTGATAATTCCAACATTCCTGCCATATCTGGGTGGTTCTGATGCTTACTGTATTTCTTCAAACTGTGTTTTTGCCTTTTAGTATGCCTTATAAATTTTGTTGAAAGCCAGACATTATGTATTTCATTGTGGATTCAGGCAACTTGTCTTTTTAGTTCATGCTTCTCTGAATCGAAGAAATCATAAGTGAACCTGGTGTGGAGACAAATTACCCCAATGGATTTTGAATTTGATGCCATCATTTTTTGTCCCCCCTTAGGGAGAGGGGGTGTGTATTTGTCTGAATATTTGGTGATGAGAAGGAGGGATTGTAGTGTTATTAGGTCTTTCCTCAGACTATTTCCAGCTCTCTCCTACACAGGCACTTGGTAAATTGTACTCCCTTCATGCCTTGTGATTGGTGGGGCCATAGGACCTGTTCTGGACAATGAGTTATGAGTGGAACTGGTGATGTGTATTACCTCAGGGCTGAACTTTTACTTGATTGTGTAAAACTCTCCAGGATTCTTTTTTTCTGTCTTCCACGGTAACCAATTGATTACTAAATGAAGATATGTGGAGCAATGTCCCCAGTGACCTGCAATAGACATGTAGTTTCAGTGAGAAATAAACTTCTATTGTTTGAGACATTATGATCTGGGGTTGCTTGTTAGTTTAGCATAGCACAGCTTATCCTAACTGGTACACCTTCTTCATGTCTTGACTCACATGTCACCTTTTCCTCAAGGTTTTGCTGGACTCCCAATTTAAAATTGCACTCACACCCACCCTCTCACTCTATCCCCTTCTCTATTTTATATTCCTCCATAACACCTATCTCCATCAAACATTATACAGTTTCCTCCTTTATTTTGTTTATTATTCATCTCCCTGTGCCAAAAGAATGTAAGCCCATGAATGCAGTGATGAGTTTGGGTTCCACTGATAGCAGATCCTGAGACAGGGGCTTTGGTGCAGGTTGTTTGGGAGGTTACAAGAGAGGGTATTGGGGAAGAGAGTTAAAACAGAGGGTTTTGGGGAAGAGAAACCAGGTAAGGGAGTAAAATCAATAAAAGAAGCATCAATAAACTTATTAATGCTGTGGACAATCCTATGGACATCCTCTGAGAAGCCCTGTTGAACTGATCTCAGAAATTTCCTACCTAGAGATAGGAAAACTGGAGTATTGTCCCCATCTCCTGGCCATTGTTGGCTATGGGTGTCCCTAGGGACATTAAACCTCTGGCACAGTTGCTCTGTGCATGAGCTGATTGAGCTTCCCCAGTGCCAGAGAGAGACTTCAGGTACAGAAGCAGAAAGATACACAAGGTTCCTGTGCATGGGAATCATTGAACACAGTTGAAGGTGGGTCAAGGGCACATACAGTGGGGGTGTCAACAGTATCTGCTATAGGGAATTTGGTTTTTTATTCCTGGATGTATCCTCATCCCTTAAACAATATTTGACACATTTTTTCCAATGAATGAATGCATGGATGAATGAATACTACAGTAGGCATTTGCCGTATGTGTCCCCAGCAACCATTTTCCCTTTTATGATCAAACTTATCCCTATTTTCCCTTGGAAAACCACCTCTCTCCATTCCTCAGTCTGAGGCTTTGGTTGGGATTGGCCCCACCCCTAGTTCCTGGGTGTGGGCTACCCTAAACCCCCCACACCAAGGGCTGAATCCGAGTAAGCTCTCTTATGCAGCTCTCTCTTCCACCTCCCCTCACCACAGCGACCTGTTCAGAAATGGACACATGACCCATTTTGGACCAATGAGAGAGAGTAAATTCCAGGGCTTGTTTCTCTTTCTCTGAGTGATATAGTTTAAGGATGTGAGGTCTGGAACAGCTGCAGCTATTCTGCCACCATGGAAAAGTGTGGAATTTCTGGTCCAACTGTATGAAGCCCAAAGAGAAAGCCAATAAAAAGGAAGAGAGGTGAGGGAGAGAATTTGGGTGTTTGGAGACATGTTTTGGAGCTGTTGGAGCAAGTATCACTTGAAGCCAGGAATAAATCTGGACTTTTATTTGACATACCCAATAAATATTTCTTTATGCAGTGAGCCAGTTTTAGGTAGATTTTCTGTGACTTATGGCTGAAAGAGTTCTCATTGATTCTATACCTAACTCACAGCCTTGTTGTGAGATTTAAATAAAATAGCAGTGAAACATGGCACACAAATAATACTCAATGAAATGATAGCCAATATTGTTATTATGATGTATTTATTTTTATATACTTATATGACCTTTTTATTCTATACCCCAAATATTGATTATTCAATTTCTACCCCCAAAGGAGAAAGGCTGAGCGTACCGCCCAGCCCCTGGCTCCCAGCCACCAGCCTGGGCCTCAGATCCTCCTTGCTTAGCTGGTGAACGACACAGGGCCCACTTGGTGCAGTTCTAATTACTCTGTCATCTCATTTTCATTTTTTGGCAACATTTGTCTTCATCAAGCTTACACGTAAACATTTTCAGCAAAGTGCTCTAAATGCCTTTTTTAGAAATCTGAATCCACGTGAAAACAATGGCAACAAGAAAAAGGTGTAAACTTTCCATAATAGGCCCAGAGTTTGAAAATGTGATAAAGAGGTTATTGTGTGTCCAAACTTTTCACACAAGAATTGGAGGAGATTTAACACAGGAATAATAAACAGAGGAAGGTTGGCTAATGCAGAGCAGATGGGCCTGCAGGGCAGTGCTAAGCATTTCAACATCGTTCCCCTTAGACCTTTGGACTCAAGATGACTGAGTGCAGGTTTCTTTAGCTAAAAATAAAGTTAGTGCCTTTGGGGAAACCATAAATATGGCCTGATTTGATTTCTGGGGTTGTTGGTGGACTAAATTTTCAAGAACCTAGTATGTGGCAGGCATTTGACATTCACCAATTTAATCCTGATCACAACTCCATTTTTTAAAAAATTTTGTTTTATTGGTTGTGCATATTCATGGGGTACAAAGCTGACCGTCACCACTTATGCCCAAGATGTGATGGCCAGATAAGTACTATCAGCATGCCTGTTACCACAAGTTGTGATTATACCCCATGTCCCCCACCCAATTAATCTCCGACCTCCCTCCCCCTCCTCCCATCTCCCCTACTCTGCAACCCTAGGTGTGCTCTCTCTCTCTGCAAGTCCAGCACACCACTGTGGTCTTTCTTTCCTTCTTCCTTTTCTCTTAGCTCCCGCTATGAGTGAGGACATGCAGTATTTTTCCCTCTGTGCTCTGCTTATTTCACTCAACATAAGTTTCTCCAAGCTCATCCATGTTGCTGTGAATGGCAGAATTTCATTCTTTTTTATGGCAGAGTAGTATTCCATGGTGTATATATACCACATTTTCCTTATCCAGTCGTCCATTGATGGACATTTAGGTTGGTTCTATGTCGTGGCTACTGTAAATAGAGCTGCAATGAACATTGGAGTACAGGTATCCCTTACACATGATGATTTCCATTCCTTTGGGTATATACCTAGAAGTGGGATTGCTGGATGGTATGGTAGTTCTATCTGTAGTCGTTTGAGAAACCTCCATACTGTTTTCCATTTGTGGTTGTTCTAATTTACAATCCCACCAACAGTTTAGGAGTGTTCCCTTCTCTCCACACCCTCACCAGCATTTGTTATTCTCCATCTTTTTGATTATAGCCAGTCTAACTGGGGGGAGGTGATATCTCAACTTGGTTTTAATTTGCATTTCCCTGATGATTAGCGATGTTGAGCATTTTTTTAAGTGCCTATTGGCCATTTGTAAGTCTTCCTCAGAAAAATGTCTATTCAGGGCCGGCCCGGTGGCGCACTGGATAGTGCGCCGCTTGGGAAGCGCGGCGGCGCTCCCGTCCGAGGGTTCGGATCCCACATACAGACTGGCTCCTGCTCACTGGCTGAGCGAGGCACGGGAGCAACACCGAGGTTTGCAATCCCGTTGCCGGTCCCCGGTCCGGTATGGGGGCAACACTGAGGGTTGCGATCCGTTGCCGGACACGGAAAAAAAGACAAAAG